CTCATTTGCTCTTCATATTTCAGGCCTTTTTACTAAAATCCTTAAACTGTTATATTATATCCACCATCTGCGTTCATGTCGCACACCGTAAGCCCTAATCTAGCAATATATAGATGCCTGCATTCTCCCTCTCATTCTTTACTGCTCTCCAGTTATTTTTCCAGCTTTACTTCAAAAAGACCTGGTCATTTTTAAACGTATCCTCCGAATGCTCTCTTCAGCTGCCGGTGTTTCCTTTGTTTTTTAGCTGACATTATAACACAGCGACACTTTAAAGCGGTCAAGCAATTTGCTACTTGCATCCTTAGTGAGGTCGCTCACCCTCTCCACTCGGAAATAATGGCTGCGAAGTTTTCCCGTATTACGCGTCGAAGCTTCCTTCATATGTCTTGCCGTACATTGGCATATCAGCACTCGGTACTCCCATTCTTAGCACGCTATCTCACGTGTGAAGAAACGGAAATACAGAACTTGAAAGCCGACCTGTCTCCATAACAGACATTAACTCTACCCCTTTATATTACTGTATTGCCTGATGATGAATGAATCGAAAACGTCGTTCGTCTAACTTGACTTCCTTAATGCTTACATGGGTATCATCGCTGAACTTAAACAATCCAAAGATGTGGATGTCTTGTAAGTCTCTAACTTTGATTATTCTATGACCTTTTACCATGACCCCTTGCCTTACGTTATCCCTTGCTCTTCGTGGATGGAGCCATCTTTTGCCGAAACTTTTGGATATTACCTTCAAAATAAAGCATTCTCTCTCTCTTCGCACTAAAATTCTCGATCAATTAAACAGGACCAGTATCGGTTATGCTGTCTTACCCCATACATGATTCCAACTTTGCTGGTTGGACACTTGTCAGGAGTGAAACTGCTACAGGCGTCCAGGATTTCGTCCACGTATCCCCAAAGGTATTTGGTGACAGTGGTCCTCACAAAAAGTTCGGGTGAGGCGAAGAGAGTCAGGAAGGAGTACTCCGTCTCCGAGGGACCGGTGCCCGCGTCCAGGCCAGCCGACATCGCCTGAAATAAAGAGTAAGGTAAAAGTCAGTCGACAGTTTTAATGGAAATTAAAAGAATCTGCATTTTCTAGGCGCTCATCCTTATGGTAGCATAGAATGTTCATCCCCTTTGTGTCTCCTAGGCGCTGTAGCTGTGTGCGTTCTGAACTCAGAAGGCAACAGGCAGTGAATTTCCAACTTCCTCCGCAGCGATCTAATAAAATGGCAACAGCTCCTGGTGGTAACGGTCTATTATAGGGTTCACCACGGAAACCCACTCCCCAGAATCCTGTAATACGGGACTGGTGGTAATAGGGAGTTATACGGGTGGGGCAATACGGGGGCGTAGAAGAGAAAAAGAAATATATCCAACGAAAACAGGAATATCAGACAAAAGTGTTATAAAAAGCTAATATATGGCAACGATGAAACGTGCGATGATTGAAAAATATGTTAAAGCAATAAATGAAAAATGGACTTCAATTAATTAGTGAAAATAAATTGCCATTACCACCGGTCGCGTATTGAAGCATTTTGGAGTTTCTTTTCCGTAGTGAGCCCTATAATAGGCTGCTAGCCTTCCGTATTGTGAACCCGTCGGTTCTAAAAGCCTAGCTGGAGCAGTCGGGCCTACATCTTGAGCAAGGAGCGGACTGAAGCCTGAGCTTCTGATGAGGACTCAATCAATCGATGAATTGATCATCTGCCACATGCACAGCCCTGCGGAGTGATTTTTAACTGACTTATGACCCCTTATAACCTATCTTACTGCTGCTACTGGCAGCCCTGACGACGGGCTTTTGTACGAATTCGAGAGTTCACGTGCTTGATCAGTCGCCCTCCTTATGCATACTAATACGTATAGTCAAAACCTTAATCGCAGGTTTGCACGAAAAAGGATAGAGGAGGATTTTTCGAAGACGGTCATTTCGAGTAATTTGACTCCTGGAGTAAATTACTTTCTGTATCTTTCGGCTGTGTTGATGTGGGTGTCTAAGAAAACTACGAGATTAAGTTGGAAAATGAAAGTATTTCTAACGCCACCAAAACATATACATGTGTGACCGTGGGCAAAAGTCGAAGGAAAAGGCACGATTGACCGCCCGTTGCTTCATTCGGAAGTCTGGCCCAAAACTCACAACCATACTCTGCGATGTGAGACAGTGACTAGATTCGAGCACGCTAGCAATAATCTATGTTAATATTCGTCACCCTTTAACCTTTTCCAAAGCTAATCCAAAGCGCCGACCTTACTTTGAGCCTAATCTTGTTGGTGACCTTAAATGCATTCTAACCCCAGCCGTTACCGTAGCTTCCACCTCACCCGGAAGTAGTGGAAGCAAAAGCTAGATATTATTAGGGGAGGAGGGGTTGGTAGATTGAAATTTGTTCGTGAATATCACCGGCAGGTACTAAAATACCATATCAGAGGAGGAAGAGGAGAAGGAGATATCTTGACGCTGCTTCTTCACTGTGCGCCACTTCAGTAAAAAAAACTCTCGTAACAACATCTTGCTGAAGGGCTTGCTGAAGTAAGAACAAGAGAAGAGGCATGCTGGAATCAGTCTATAATAGCACCGTTTTTTTATCGAGATCGCCTTTTGGCACTACTCTGCTTAAATGAAGCCGCATGACTCATCTGAAAAGTTGGCATCCCGGAACGCTAGTTACGGCACGCCGGCTAACTGTAGTCTTACATTGTTGTGACCCCTTCTTCACCTGCAAACGCTCACTGTGCATTGATAAGATGAACGTGAAAAGTGATAGGTAAATCAAACAGGGATTGTTGCTTCGTTTGGTGAGGGGGAGGGAGGGAAGGAAGGTATCTAAGCGAACATGTTAAGATTACAGTTAAAACATATCGATCGCGGCTAAACCGTCAACGCGCGGGACAGCAGTCAGTCATGGGAGTGGGATGACCCGAGCGGGAATGGGGTTACGTCCACTATCGATCCTTATCATGAGAATGCGAGTATGATTATGTGATGTGGCTGTCTAAATAGGTCTGGTTTTCAGGTCAGCGAACACCCGTTTTCGATTATTCATCTTCAGGCAATTAAAATAATGCTCGTTGATGAACGTTCACCTGAGTACTCCTGGGACTCATTTGTCCCGCTCTGTCCAGAGAGCCGTAACAGCTGGCAGTATAGGCAAATAGTATAGACGGCAAAGACAAAGGAGACTTTCGAATTTGAGCCACCCATTTTTTTGCTCTCCATTCACGTGGGAATT